AATAGTGCCACTTTCGTACCCGATTGCATCCAAATTGCTCAGAATTGGAAGCCCCGAGTCCGGCGCAGAGGTCCAGTCTCATATTTCTTGAATTCCTCAGTTCCATGGCTCTCAGGACCCTCTAATATAGAATATTTTGAATGTATAACTTTTATTAATGAGCTCGGCGGACATACTTCTGGCCTAATTACCAGGGTGCACCCTGGACGGGAAGACTAGCGAGGCCGCCCTCTAGAACGCCCAGAAGGAGCCCGCCGCTTGGAACTGGCGCGGGGCATAACTAATGAATTTGCTCTTGCAAAAACAGACACATTTTTCTCTTCTCCAACCAAACGCCGCAATGGCTCAAGCTAAAGTGACTGGAAGTAACTCTCTCCAGAGCCACTAACATCTTAAGGTCACTTAACACTTAGTGACAAGGGCCTCTAATGTCCCGCGATGATAAATTATTTGAAGCTGCAAATTATTTTGCTTCAAATTGATTGTGCGTCTATCTTAAACAATGACCTTTTCATGTTGCTAACATTCGCCATGGAACCGATTAAACAACATTCGTTTTATTTACCGACTGAAAGGTAACCTGAGCATTTTTCAGGACTACATCGTATTCGTTTTGGTGACATTCTGCTTTACAACATAATTGTATATCTCCACAATCCATGTGAATCATGCTTGGCTTCGGAGGCCTATACGTTCACAAATAGAGCATACTAGTCTCAGCATACATTAGGTGTATTGATCATTTTATAAATGTGTTTTTCTATCCTAAACCGTAATACCAAAAAGTTAAAGATTAGGCTTGATCAAATATTCAAATATTGGCAAAAAGTTACCTAATGTGGTTTTCTAAATGTAAGTATATTGAACTAGAAATGGACTAATTATCGTGCAAATCGAGTTGTGTATGCTCTCTCATCGCTGATATACACGCTAAAGTGCTTTGGTGCATGGACTGATGAATCAGTCACATGATGGTAACTTCCTGAGCTGTTCTATAGGCACCACAGGACGTGACTGGATGCTGTGGTTGAGTTCATCCCACACATGCTCCATTGGGCTTCGGTCTGGACAGAAGGCAGGCTATGGTTGGAGTTCAACTGACATTGCGCTCAAGATACTGGGTAATCACTGTGGTGGCATGAGGTTGTGCATTTCCATGTTGAAACAGGGTTATGTTTGGGTGTCCATTCAGAAATTGCGTCACTACTGACACTAAAATTTCATTCCGGTATCTCCTGGCATTGATGTTACTACTGATGACAGCTTGGATCTCAATTCCCACACTTCAGTGATCACCAACAGAATATAACCAGCAGCACAGTTGAATCGCATCAGTCCTGAAGACGGACAGAGCACTCACTGTCCGAAACGTCAAGTAACCGGTTCTTTTCAGAACCACATATACTCAAAGAGATATTTTCTACATGATGTATACGCAAACCCACTACCTTACATGTAGGTCATGTAGTAGTTCCTTGGTAACGTCGAAGGACATTCCTTTGTTATATTTACAGTGGCGCTTGTGTAAACAAGTGTGCCCTTCCCTGGGGAAAAAATTACACAGAAGGGCTAAAATGTACGAAAACGTGGATTTTCGATTCCAGGAGCGGACACACATCTTTGACCACTGTGTTCATTTTAATTTCTTGGTTCGAGCAAACATTTATACCTCTCCAAGATGATTTGAGAGTTTTACTTCATAAATTTGTTCCATATTGGTATTTTTGCAGTTTTGAAATAGAACAAGCATTTCGGGCTATTTCTCTGACACAACTTTTTCTTCAAAATTTGTATGTGTGGCTCTTCGTGAAAACGGTAACTAAATACGCCATTCCGGTGTAAGACTCTTCATGAATAAAGTACACATTGCAGATGTACATCTCTGTCATGTATATCGCCTAAAGTATAATGTCATATGGTGTCAGTCCCCCACCTGCTTTTCAACTCTTCATCTTTTCATGGCCATATTGTGGCGGGCATCCCCGGGCCTACCCTGAGTTGATGGGATCAAACCAAGCACTATTAGTGGCAGAGTT